TTCTACCTTTGTGTCTGTCTCTTCTACATCTTTGAAACACCCTTCTGTTCCCCCCCCCCACACTCAACTTTTTCCTACTTTGATGTTCCTCCCCTCCGTGAAGTTCGACGTCAACTAAAGGGCTAATGATAACTATCAAAACGCCTGCCATTTGATATAAATAAATAAATATTATACGTGAGATTTTGTGATCCTTATCATTCATGAAGTAGGACAAAAGGCAATCCTCATTTCTGTCCGGGGAAGACCACAAACCGGCCACAGTTTGCCTGACAGCGGAGATAGCTTTTTGATACCTGTCCCAGAGCTCGTCTGCTCCCAGCACACGACGAAGTGTCTCACAGTTTCTTACGAATCCGGTTCTTAGAGAGGAAAAGCAAATGCATTATTAGTAAGTATTCTGGTGGTTAAAGATCAGCGTATGGACATTTTTTAAATAAGCCAATTGACTTCGTAGATCTGACTAAGAATATTTGTTATTTTGACAATATATTTGCTCGGCTGTAAAATCATTAGACAACAATTTAACTGCTTTTTCAAGAGCAAAAGATCCTACTTTACAAGTTCTAGGAGAAAAAAAGGTTAAAAGAAATGAACCCCGGGCGCGCTCGACAATGGAATATCAGTACTAGGTCAGATATTGGTTGACGATTTATATGAAAAGACCTTCAATAATACAAATATTGTCCCATATATCGTCAAAACTTAATGGATTTAAAGAGAATGATAATCCTTTACCCTTATTTATTGAAAAAATACTAAAATATTATGGTTTTGTTTAAATTAAGGTTCTGAACTTACAGAAAATGAGGAAGCATCTGCTTGTATTGGAAAGGACCGATGTTGGCGTTGATGTACCCAACGCTTTGAGCAAATCCATTGATTGTGTCTTCATCCAACGGGCATTCCATTCCAAATGAACTCCTCCATATTATATGCCACATAAAGCGCCGAAAAGGAAGTCTGCAAGGGTAGGATGTGTTGTTTTATTATTATTATTATTATTATTATTATTATTGTTAATGGTAAAACCATTTTAATCAAGGAAAATGTTTAAGCCAATGGACTACGTATTTGAATTCCCTTTCATTGGTTCTAAACCAGTCTTCATCGTCACGGGTTTGAAATTCTTTTTTTATATGCTTCCAACTTATTTCTTAATCATCTTCTTTGCACCACGCTCTATTAGCAAGCATGCCTATTGAGAGATTAATTCACCTACTTTGTTGCCAAATTTAGGACTGCTTTATATATCTATTCAATTTTTTCCTTGTAGCCTGAGTTCTGAAACTTGAGTTAACCAAGTAATGGTCAAGAAATGGGACTGCTCCTTCTTGAAACATGAGAGAAACAGAAGACTGTATCTCACCGATTCTTTCATAAAGATTTATTTACTTTCTAAAGTCTCCATGGAGCATGCTAAAGCCGACTGTTGCATCTACCCGATCTATGTGAGCATCCAGGCTAAGATCAGGAGTTAAAATCTTCCATGATTAGGACATTTCATAATTTACAATTTTTGTCCATAATATAGCTTCCAAGCGCCTATAAAGAGATTCTTTCACTAAATTGTTGTGATAAAACTCAATTTCTATTCAAATTCCCTTTAATTGTACCATCCAGAAATCTAGCTTTTTTAAATTGAAATCAAGAATTCACATTGTTAGGGGGTTATTTATATCCAGGGATTATTTTAGTGACAGATGTTTCAGCAGTTTTTTTTTTGTTAGAACTGCTTGACGTTTTTTCATTCGGGAAGATAACTAATTTTCAAGCGTAAGAGTTTCAATTTGAAATGACAAGACCCAGCGTGCCGGGGTCCCAATGTTGGAAAGTGGCCTTTCGAATATCGACTAGAACGCTTGAGTGTAGAATTAAGTTTCCGAATGTTTACTTGAGGCCCTATATCCATATTGTTTATTTTTTTATTTTATATTTTTCCGACAGCTAGAACACAAGTGAATGCTGCTAGAACAAGCAATTTGTAATAATTTCAGTACATTAATAGGTACACACATGTTCATTTGTAAATCCATCAAAAATATGCAAAATTTGATATAACTATGGGTAAATACTTTGAATAATTGATATGATTTGATCACACATTTCCATAACCAGGTTAATTAATACAAAATCAAACTCACGTGACTTTGAAGGGCTTGCCTTCCATACTTCGCAGATAGTTGTTGAATTTGTCACATTCTTGATCCAATATTTCATCGAGAACCGAATCCACGCGGGTACCAATGGGACCACCCTGTTGTCCCGTTTTATCTTCCATAAGTTGGTGGATGCCTCCAATAAGAACGCGCCTCAAGGAAGAAGCATTATCCCCATCGTAGTTGAAGAGGCCTACAATTTTTTTAAATATTTATTTAGGTGATACAGTGTAAGCTGACACTTTTGACCCACTAACCAATAGCCTTAATGATCCCTTTTATTCCAATTACCAGTCCAGATCATTGTAAATATGGTTAAACGGAATTCAAGCACAACCTGGAAGCAAGTAAGTTTTCTCTCTGACAATGAGGAATGAGAATTATTCCAAATTAGCAATCTCGCCAGTCAGTTCGGAAGCCAATCAACATGAGCTCTTTGTGAATCCATGTGAAGCAACAACCCAAGAGATTCTCAACAACAACCCCATGGCCGGAATATGCAGGGTAGAAAAGACTGAAATGATTTTAATCTACCCCATTAACTTACCGTATCCTCTTGCAAGGCTGTGACTACTCAACATTGTATAACGACTGATAAGCGCCCGATTCCTTAAAGCCGCCTCCTTGATAGTATCCTCATCACTGAGAATGACCATAATTTTTCCGCAAACTCGAAAACTTGTTATCGGACCATATTTCTTGCAGACTGATTGCACATTCTTGAAAGCACCTTGCTCTATAAATTAACAAAAAGGACGTAGTTGGGTCTATGATATCTTCAAATGAGTAGCTCTTTACGTACTCAAACACGGTGTGTAACCAAGCCATGGCCAGCCAATTGGACCAGGTGGAAGTTGGTATTCTCTATAGCAATTGCGTATAACTTTGTACGCCACCAAGGCGCATAGGGGTGCAAAAATGTACCATTTGTGTTCTTCAAAAGCGAGGTGATCTTTGACTTCTTCGACCTATTATATAGACATTTTTAGATGAAAATAAACCATAGAGCTAAACTGGAGTTAATTATTTTCGTCTTTTTACGTTGTTTTGTTATGATAAAAGCTGTCACAAAAGTCGATTCAACTTAAGCACCTGCTAACCTAGACTTTATTACTCATACCAGGTCATGAGTTAGTCTAAATCTAATGCGAAACCGAATTTACTGTCTTTTTTATAATTTGGCTTAATTAAATACAAACAGGGATTATTCATGTGTCTATATGTAGTTCATTACCTTATCATGTGATGATGCTTCAAAAAAAATTCACTGACAAAATTTGCACATTGACGGGGGAAGTGACTACCTCAAAGCAATATTTATTTCAAATGGCAGACGTTTTGATAGTTATCATTAGACCTTTAGCTGACTTCAGACTTCACAGAGGAGAGGGACACCATAGTGAGAAAAATTCGAGGGAGAGGAAGTGATTCACAGATGTAAAGCGAAAGATGGACACATAGGCAGAGAAAATGTAAGATGTGTACTGTCGAAGCGGTCGAATTTAACATACAGTGGGGTGATGGTCCCATCTTGATGTTTAGACTCGTCACCACTAGCATACATTTCGCCTCTATCAGTTGACACCATCACATTTAATAAGGTCTGGTTGACAAAGACGTGGGAATAATCCCATCTATAGGATTAATGGAAGAAGATTAATGCAGAAATGCTTTCCAATCTTAGATGAGGTGTTTGTATCTTGTATTTTTATAACATTGTGAAAAGGATGGAAAAATATCCAGATATAAATTAATAAAATGCCGCTGTGATTGTAGTTAATGAATTCTTAGATGATAATATATGAAATCAAACTTAAATTGAATTCCCTCTTTTCATTAAATGGGGTGTCAACTGCGTTAAATGTCCTTGCACAACAGAGTAGTGTGCCAAGTCGTAATTAAGAACATAGACTTTTCCTAAAAGACCTACAATGGGGGGGGGGTATTTTTCAGTAAATTGAAATGCTTAGGAAATGTCATGATGCGATTTGAAGACGGATCTCATGATTTAATGGGCGAATCTTAAAGCGAAATTAGAATAGAGCCCATTCAATGGAGACATAATCGCAAGCAAATAATTGCCGGCTGGTTATGCTCATTTATGAGAAAAACTTGGATGGTGGGTTTCGAGTGATTGATTACCACAAGGAGGCCACACATTTCTCGGGGAAATAAATTTTTTTAATATCTTTTCTAATCAAAAGAATCTCAAAATTATGTAGATTAAGATTACGATATTCGATCGTCTTTGGTTATTGTACTTCATCAATGATTGAAATACCACTGACCACTAGATCGATGGATCTGATACTAAGGAACATTTATCTTAGTATTTAAACGCCTATTAAATTAAACAAAATCAGCTACTTACCCACGTGGTGATATCCATGCTTTTGTGAGTGCGTGCGTAAGTAGGTTAAAGAGAGAAGACACGGCACTTACAAGTATACTTGAGTTTTAATGGGTCTGTTAACAGGGGAGGCCTGACTATATAGCACATACGCCCGCGCACAGGGCAGTACATGTATTCCACAACGTTGGTATTGGCTTCACACGCCGCACACTCAAAGACTACCTCATTGTTGTCAATTGATCAACTGTTTTTTCCATTAAAGCGATTAGGGGATATTGACGGACTTTGTGTAATAAACATTAGATGGAAAATCAACCCATGAGGTATTTGTTTCTAATAGAATCTGGTGACGAATTGAAGAAGAGATAAATATTATTCTGAAGCTACCTTATCAAAATTTTCTAATCAAGTGAAAGTCGTATTACATTCTAAAGCCGGGGTGTGCGATAAACATATCTCCACGTGGTACACCCTGGGCAACGTATACTCATATGGCAAAAAGTCTATTAACTGGCAGTTGACTCCTGACTTCAAACTACCATCACCTCACTGTATGTCATATTCGACCCCTTCCACAGTGCTCATCTAGCCTTTGTGTCTGTCTGTCTCTTTTACATTTGTGGATCATTATTCTAGACTTTTTGTCACTTTGATGTTACCCCCTCCTCTCTGTGAGGTCCGAAGTCAGCTAAAAAGCTAATGATGACAATCAAAACGCCTGCTATTTGAGATTAAAAAAATATATTCTAAAGCCTAGATATACAAGGATATAGCAGAATAACTATGGACTTGAAATTTTGATCCGTTATTGTCCCCAAAACTAGGTGACAGACGCTTGAGAAAGCCACCAAGTTTCATCAAATTCACTACGATAACTTATTTATCATAGAAAAAAAACCAGTTTTAACGAGTTCACTTTCATAATTGAAGGGTCAAATAAACTCCAAAATTGGTGAGTGTATGCATTCATGGGCCTTCAAGTGGGTATCATATAATTTAGAGGGATGTGAGTATTGGTGATTGTAGGAAAGATTTTGATCTTAAAATGTACGAACTGCAAGAAAACTCAGCTTGAGCAGAGACCGACACCTTCAGCACTTTACTCTTCCAAGGCTTGAAATGATTTAATGCATTCTATTGAATATATCCAGCTTAAAGTTTGCACTCAAAAAACAATATTTAAATAACTATTTGAATTCCTTTCTATTTCCACAAACAAGTGTACTGCCAACCACATTTAAAATGGGTCAGATTTGACACAAATGCTACCAACGAAGCTTCAAGGCTGTTAAGTTATAATTTTGGAAGCGAAAAATAATCTCATCTAC